ATTAAATAGTTTTTTAAGCATTAACTATGATGCCAATATCAGCTGATATATATCCAAAAGACCAAGAATTAAATACAATCAAAAATGTCTGCAAATAATCGATTTTGCACTTACATTTCTAGTTACAATTGCTACTGTATATTAGCATTAGCATTACCAGCTACCTTCTCTCAAGGTATCAGCTGTTGAAAAAAACATTGATTGAGCACTAACTCGGAGCGAAGAAGCTCATATCATACAACTCTCAAAAAAGCAGGTCTATGATTCTCAGTACGGAACAGCACCTGTGATGTTATCCATACACAAATCAATGACTGTTGAAGCATGCGACTGAATATAAACAAAGTTTAAAAGAAGCATACACACACAAAAAAAACAATGATCCAACAATAAGATATCTCTCATCACAAACATTAATGCATCAGGCATTCCAGGCGGGAGTCTGAAATAAACATAACCTTTATCCCCTTATAATACACAAGAAGGGTGGTGTGAGCATACGAAACTGCTTGCTCCAGCTCCAAAAGACCTGTGCTCTCTAGGACATGCCCTGGCATGTCTTTATCTAACACTTCCTCTCCACATCATTCCCAATAATTAAATATGATGCTGAAAGCCACATTCTGTATTAAATAAAGTTGATCGGGGGGTGGGGGAGGTTGTATCGGGCATTATGGCAAAGTGGCGGCTTCTCCATAGGCATCGGCCTTTGTGCAGCTTTTTCATTATTCTCAGCACAATCTACCAAGTGCAGATCCATTAGTGTGACATAGGCCTAAATTAGTGGCTATAGAAATCCATTAGCGTCACAGAAAATGAAGACTCTGTGATTTCCTCAGATTGACAAGATGCTTTCTTTCTTTCAATTGCAAAAGCTGACAGAGAAGGGCACACTGAGGAAGGATTTTCAGGGGCATACAGGCCTACAAAGGTTAGCTAACCTTAAAGGCATAGTTCAACACCAAACTTTTATTAGTAGTATTAGTGTTACATGCATATTATGTACATAAAATAATATATGTACATGGGCCAAAGACAAATGTTCATAAAAATCGATAAGAATCAATTCCACATTCTGTCCAACACAAAAGCTGAATTGTATAGAATATTCTGACCGAAACACCCTGGAGTCACAATAAAAGTATTTAAAATATTGTTAGAATAAAGCATATGATGTTAAGCCTTGACATCAGCCTTTATGAGAGTTCATGAATGAATCGCTCTCCTGAGTCAAATCTTTTTAACGAATTGGTTGATCCAGAAATTTCTCAAAACCAGCCTAAATGATGTGTTCATGAATCAAACTGATCATTTCACAAGTTAAACTGAGCTAATGATCCCATGACAGCCCACTGGGGATTAAGATTATCTGTGATAAAAAGAAAAAAAAAGGGGGGGGGGGGTCTTAAAGGCATGGTTTCGCCTCAAAATGAATTTTTATTTTTTATTTTTTGTCAACAACCTGACCAATACAGTATGTTTAATATAAAACAGCAAATGAGGGCTAGGGTTGTTAAACACCAAAAAAGAACATTAAACCAGTTCGTATGATGAGCAAAATATTCCATAATATATTGAAGCCATATACAATCCATTGACATCAGAGTTTATAAATGAATCATTCTTTTGAGCCAAATCTTTTTAATGTATTGGTTGATCCAGTTCATAAACCAGCCTGAATGACTTGTTGAATCAGACTGAACTGATTCGCAAGACCAACACCGACTCAAAATCCAAAGTATCTATGGCTTTAGAATCCTATCTAATTATCTATGGCTTTAGAAGATTTAAAATAAAACAACAAGTCATATGGACCTCTTTTATGATACATTAATGGTGCTTTTGAGCAACAACTACATCCTTCAAATGTTTCAAATGTTTCTAAAGTTCCATGGAAGTAAGTCATACAGGTTTGAAAACAACATGAGAGTGAATAAAATGACAAATATTTATTTTTAGGTGAACAATCCCCGTTCTGAGATCCATTTCAGCATAATATCCATCTAAAACTATTTTATATTATGCAAAACTCATGTCCACAGCACAAAGAGAAAATAAATTGGAGTACATAATAAGAAGCAACATTAAACGTGCCTATACCATGCAAAAACAGTTCTACTCTTACTATTCCAGCACCAAATGTGTTCTTGACAATCATAATACAGAACACCAGAGAAAAAAAGTCTTTATGATTAGCTCATAAATGAGTGGGTTATTCATGAAGTGAGAACATCCAGACCACAGATGGGCTTATCCAGGAGGCCCCGCGAAGATGTACGAACAAGGACAATGAAACCACAAACACAGCAACATACTGTACGCACTGTCAGCACAGCAGCTTCGCCTATCTTTAATGACAATAATTCAGCACTATCACTCTCATAACAATCAACACTGATATCACAGTCCAAAGGACCTTTAGAGACAAGTTAGTGACTCAAAACAGGAAGATGAGGGTTCACGTGATTATCATGATTCTTTAATCAAGACTCACAGAAGCCAGCTCCATGTTTTATGGCCAACATGAACAAATACAAACACACAAAGTCCTCAGGAAGTGCATGAATGAGGCCACTCTGTACTGCGTACTTGTTCCTCGACAAGAAACACAAATAAACAAGTCATTGCTCATAAGAGAAAAAGAATGGAGGAAGAAAGAGGGGTAAAAAGAGCGCTCTCTGTCTCCACGCTCTCTGTTTTTGACCATTGATCTTTGACCTTGAGGGGGCCGAATGACTTCCTGCTCTGAATCACTGAAGCTACAGGATCCTTCTCGTATGGAACAATCCAAATAAAGTTTTGCACCCATTTATGTACATTCAAATGACTTATTTATATAATAATTTGGGCAAATTGGGTTTCAAGTTTCTTAATATTTCCACATTTAAATCTCTAATCATTTATTCACCTCCATTTTGTTCAATACCCCCAAGAAGACAAACAAGATTTCTGTCCCTCCATCCATAAGTTGTGAATACTGTATTCCAGGAAACAGAAACCGTTTGGTCCAAGCCTCCACTCAAGTGAGAATACCATCTCAACAGCCATGAGCAATATTCATAGTGCACATTTAAGCTAAGCTTATATAAATTCAGCGTACGCTAGAGTCTCTGGTCTCACGAACACCAATATTTCAACGAATTATAAAAGACAAATCACTGTCTGGCCATCTGGGATTTCAGTATGGACATAAAGGTTAGGATTATGATTTTTCAGTAGTTTGCTTTTGGCATCTGGAACAGTGACGCGTGATGTCAGACATAACAAGCCGATTGAAAGTTTATTCACCCAAAATTCGGACGCTTCAAAACGATCGCAAAAGAAATCAAGCGGTTTAATCCAAGTCGTCTAATGAACGTTTTGAACCGTCAGAGTTTTGGTTGAATAGACTTTCAATGGACGGACAGAATTCTCTCAGATTTGATAAAAAAAATATCTTTTATGATTTGAAGAACAAAAGTCGTATGCAATGTTAATTGTTAACACCATAATAGAGCTAATATTCCACTAATAACAGTCATCATATTCATTCAAGCCTACTAGAATTAATGAAATCAAAAATGCTCTTTATATTATAAGAGGTATTGGGATTATGGTTGGGATGGGTTTTAATAAATAAGGATTAAGCACACAAAATGCAAATATTTCCCAGAAACATTGCGTATTAGTATTAGATGCCGTCTACTGTCAATGTCAAAGATTGAAATTGAATGTCAATCTGGAATAACCATCCAGGTGCAGAGCTTTTCAAGTTGTACACCTGTACACCACCACTACACTTGGACTTTCAGGTAAAAGGTTCAGCAGATACGCAACGCTTTACCATAATATCCCTTTAACTCATAAATAAACATGTGATCAGTTGTGTAACATTGTCAGCAATGAACTTCACAGCAATAAACAGCAACGCAGCCATCCAATTACAGAGCAAAGGGAAATTTGATTACCTCATTAGAGTTGATTTTATCACAACAGCTTGTATAATATGAGAGCTGGGTGTAATTGGGAGAATAAACAAGTCAGGAGAAAATGAAATGAAGGTAAGTGAAACTCTTCAGATGATGACGACAGGAACAGAGATAGCTGTGCTTTCTTCGGGCTGTGACAAATGGTTCACGGCCAATCAAACACAACATGTAGAACTAAATATCCCATCATTAAACCTTGTTTCACATTACTAAAGAGCATATTAGATGGGAATGTGCCAGATGCACTACTTAAGAAAACATGTCAAGCATCATCAGAGTGTTACAAGAACAAACATCCGGTTACAAAATGCCAACAGGATGAGTAAAGGAGAGCAGATTGTGTTAGACGATTAACAACATGTAAATATGTGTAAATCCCGAAAATCATGTTTTTTAAGACCTCAAAGATTTGAAGGCAAACTAGAAGCCAAATTGTGGCACACTTAACAAAAGTATCATGGTACTACTGTAATTCTTGGCATGTAAGCATAAACATAACTTAGCCTTTCGTGTTTTTTTTTTTCTGGATACCATGGCTACATGTTTTAGACCCATAGTACCATGGTATTCTTGGAAGTACCCTAGAATACACGTAAACACAATGGTAAATAATAGCTATCTATCAGTAGTAGCCTACTATGGTACTTTTTGTTAGGAACACGGGTTAATCGACGTCGCATATCTTTCCACATTCTCGCGACGCCAGAGCGTGCTTTTTCGCTTATTTACATATTTAAACAATCAACGTGAAACTGAAACAATACGCTACAAAGTTGCGTATCAATGAGACTCGACGTGATTGTAAGTGTTACAAAGCTTCAAAAGCGGTGACTGTGAATTCACTTAAAATCCCATAAATATTCTGATTTAATTAACAAGGATTGCCCAAACTTAACGATAACAGATAAAGCCGTGAATAACAACGCGCGAGACTCAAGCCAACAGATGTTGTTTGTTTGAAACGTTTACAAACACGCGCGACTGAAAAATGTAAACCATACAGTTGAAACAAACAGAAAGTTCAACACTCACCTTTCTGGAGAAACAACTCGCGAAGGCAGATCAAGATTTCTGTTCGTAAACTGCCAGAGACCGATCGCGAGGAAAGATTTACATTATTCGTCTCCCAAATAGGTCACTGAAGCTAGTAGGAAAAAACAGTATTCCTTGGGAAAAAAGCCGGGGAGGCAGTACACTTTGTTAGGGAAATCCGAAGAACTATGGGCGATGTTGGAAAACCAGCGTCGAAAACAATTCCCGGCTTTTCCACGCCCTGTAGGCTGTGCTTCAGATCAACCGCCAGGTGCGCGTAAAGTCTGAATGTTCACTGATACCTGTGTGAGTTTTGAAGAAAAAATCTGTGAAGCAAAAGTCCCACCACAGCTGATGGTTGAGGACACACACAGGACTCATCTGGACCTGCCCGACTGACCAGAGGGAGGCAGGGAGCACTCGCGGGCTCTGTCACCCACCAGCGCACGCGCGCGCGCGCACTCTCTCTCTCTCCCTCTCTCTCTATTGGTCTCTATCTGCCTCTTTTTCAATTTCAAGTTGTCAATGGCATCATTTTGAATGTAATATTGCCAACGTTTCAGTACAATGACCTTATAAAATAAGATGAATTCAAATAAATGTTAGGCCTATACAATGATAAAATATTCAGATTGCCTATTAATTTCAATGTTACCCTATGGCATGCAATGTTGCTGAAGGATTAATTTACACACAAAAAAAAACTATCACAAAATAAAACAAAATATGCATGGTACCAGAAATATTAGTTTCAGTAAAGTTAATATACAATACAATATACAACAGCCAACTTCAATGGTTGTTCCTTTACAAGTGATTGTCTCTTTTATTAGGCTACTTTAATAACTGGCATAGTGTGATCACTGACTCATTTGGTAAGGATTTATTTACTTTTTAATTCTTATGGTGATGAGACATCCTTTCAAGATGTTTAGGTCCCGGGCTGTTTAAAATCTCTCTTTCCTTATCAGATCCCATCCATTCTACCTGTATCAGTCTACAAAAGTGCTTTAAAAAGGTAGGCTATTTTCCAAAGTGGAAGTAGGAATCCGAAATAGTTCTTTGCTCCAACCTTGCTTCAAACATCCTTGAGGTCCCCCACGGGCCCCCTGTGAAGCCTGAGCTGGAATCAAAGAATGATCATTTCCTCTCCCACCTACACTAAATCTGAGATTTGCAGTAATCTGGCTCATGCTGAGACTGAGATTAAGGCCAATCCAATTGTAAATCATAATCAAAGGACAGATATTAAGGATAGACGCAGAAAATGGTGTTGCGATAACATTGAAGCTCACCTCTTCACTCTTTCATTAGTCCAATGTGCTGTTCTAAAGATTAATATTCAGCTGATAGGAGAAGGAGAATTGAGAATAGTTTAGCAATTTGACAAGCAATGTTTAAAAAAAATACATAAAAACATAACAATAAATAAATAAACAAAACAAATAGGGGTTGATAATTGTAATTAAATAGTTTTAATAGATAAAATAAAGTAGGCTATACAATCAAATTTAAAATAAATAAATGTAACATTTTAATTAAAAGTATAATTAAGAAATTTTCAAATTCAAGGTATTTTATTTTGCATGTGATGTCAAAGTAGCTACACTTTGTCAAATCAACTTAAATAATTGATGTGGTTCAGATAACATAATATTTTGAGTTTCTGATGATTAAATTAATCTCCTTCATTGTATCATTGTATCAACTCAACATTTCCATTTCAATAAACTTAAAATTTTAAGGCAACCAAATCAACAATATTTTTTTACAGTGACAAAAAAGAAAAAAAATAATAATACTAAACAAAATGTTGCCAGTGTTGTACATATTAGTTATAAAAATAGTAATATTAATAAAATCTATACTTGACTATTGAACCTTCCTGATGCTTTAATTTGGCAGTTAAATTTATTAGTTTATTTAACCAATTGACCTTCATAAACCCACCAAATTCTTCTGTCATCCACAGGTAGCCGAGGTCTTTGAAGTAAGAAGAGCTTTGCCTTGAGGTAACATGAGAAACATCATTAATGCAGTGTCTCTTTAAAAAATATTGTTTTGGACCCCCGTGTGTGATTGCAGCAAAAGTGTGTGTATGTTGTAGTTGGACCCGAGTGTCAAGGCTGAATGATTTGAATAATTCATGACTATGGAAATTAGTCTGTCTGAAGGAAAAGAGTGCGGTCTTTGCCCCAAGGCCTGTAGGGACAGAGATGCTTTGCTTTTCCCCCATATATTCTCTCTCTCTCTCTCTCTCTCTCTCTACCCTAATAAATTCCTTTTTCTCAAAAATGTTAGTGTGTAAAATGCAGCGAAAATTTGAAGATGATCAAAACACAAGAACTATAACAGGAGCAGCGATGGAAAGAGACAGAAAATCAGAGAAAAAAAGAGAATAATGATAGCTGTCAGGTAGACTGAGATGGCATTGTGCCCGAGCGTGGCACACACAATGCTGGCTGTCATCTACAACCATTGTTCTATTTTCTCTCAAATAGCCCCGTTGCTCAGAATGTCACACCGCTTTCAGTAAATGATAAGAAATATATGACTGAACCATCTGACAAATCAAAAACAAGACAGTAGCAGGTCATTTTATACTTCACTGGTCATGTTTTGAGTGGCTCCATGACAGATATTGATTGGCTCACATGTAGTTTCATCAGATTCCAATGAATACGTCATTTTAAGATATTTTGACTCTTGTATTGACTCTTAATAAGTTGAGTTTGACATCTAGACATTGAGATAGAGAAATAAATATCATGGGAAATAATTAAATGGTTTCGTGTACCGTTTTTAATATAGGCCTACCCTTTTTTAAACCTGATTATATTCTTGTGGCGCCCTCTAGTGTTTAAATGTATTGTAGGCTATTGGCTCAACTAGTCAATAATAATCTCAAGGGGGCTTTGGAGCCTGTAGGCTGCTACAGTATAACCCCTCCACGAGACTGCCACACCCTTAAAGTGCCATTTAACGACAGTAACATCATGAAACAAGAAACAGACGTTACTTGCATTCGTCCGTGCGCAATTTGGCACATCCAGAACAGCGGCAAAGACAGATGAGCAGAAACAGTTACGCTGTCAGTTGGCAGAGAAAGACAATATGCTGTGAGACAGCAAACAGAAGGAGCCGTGTAGAGGGAGGGTTGAGATAAACATGAACAAAAGAGAGCGAGAAAGGAGTTATTTTTAGACCGTGCAATGATTAGATTTGCTTTCCGGTTGCACCGAGCCAAGTTGCTTAGGCGGCTGTCAATATGAGTTATTGTATAACTGTACCTCGCTCTAATCAAATATGTGTGCGCCTTTAAATGAGTGTGTGTAAATGAGTGACTGAGTGGTCCATGCATGTAGGCTATGACATGCATGTTTGTGTGTCTGTGTTTAGGCCTAAATTGTTTAAACTCCTTTTATAGCGTCTGGAGATGTTGGTTTAGCTTGGTGAATCCGGTATTCCCTACAGTGCCAGTTTGGTGTAGTGCCACTAATGAGCCATCTGGTGCTCTCACCATCAGTCCCACAAGTCCATCACCCAGTATTATGCACCCTTGTGTTCAGCCAAATGACGAGGCCTCTGTAGGGAACCAGATCAATGGAAAAAGTTTTGTACAAATTTGCATATAAAAGATGTGCATAAAATTACACATTTCAAATCTATATGATTCAATCATATTAATAGATTTTATGTATAATATAAAATACTACAGATTTATTAAGAAAAAATATATTGTTCGTTATATTTATATATATATTTAATATATTTAGCCTATTTATGAATAAAAAGAACATACACTCTAAAAAATGCTGGGTTGTTTTAACCCAATTTTGGGTCAAATATGGACAAACCCGAAATGTTGGGTTAAAAATGTAATGTAAAAATTTAACCCAATGGCTGGGTTAGTCCATATTTGACCCAAAGTTGGGTTAAAACAACCCAGCATTTTTTAGAGTGTACAGTATTGCCGATAAACAATAGCTAATATACACTTCTCAAGTGTTTAAAGTTTGTTCACTTCAGAAGTACAAAAAAATAAGCCCCTTTTAAAATTATTGTAGCGTATCATATTTTAGTTTGCATATATTTATAGGTTTGATATAAAATAATAAAAGTGTTCATTTAAAATATGAGCACACATGGCTTAACACACACACTTAGGCTTACGTACATAAATATTATATATGTATGTATTTGTGTGTGTGTGTGTGTGTGTGTGTGTAATCAAATAAATATCATTGGCCTGTGAAATGCCTAAAAGACGAAAAGGAAATTGAAAAAAATGGCAATTGGTTAATTAAAATAAGTAAAACAAATTGTTAAATTTTTGACAAATTTTGCTTTTACAGACAATTATTTTATATCTTAAAAAATAAAGACAACATAATCAATTTTTTTTTCTTCTCCTTTTTTTTTCTTACAAAAATAAAGACAGCTTAATTGATCATTCTTTCTGTTGGCAACTTGATCCGTGAAATACCCAGTTCACATCATCAACCTGATTACAAGTGCTCAGAGATGTGAAAACGCTAATGAAGCCACTAATGAAGACTGAGAGCAGCTCTTTGAAGAGAGACACTGCAACAATGCAAATCTTCAAAAGACAATTATTAAAATAAGCTCTTTTGGAGCCAGATCCATTCTTGGCTTTCCAAAATTATGCTTTGATTGATTAATTGCCTGCAGTGTTTCTCACACACACAACACATAACAGGAATCTCTTTGTTTGTTCTGATTAAAACTCGATTCTATAATCTATTGCATCAGTTTGTGATTGCATCATTCATCCATTTCTATGGTTTATGGCTGGTTGGTATCAAATAATAGGCTTCATAGAGCAGAACAATTCAATGGGGAGTTCTGAAATTGTAATTGGGGCAATGCCCTTCGAGATAACCTTCAGAAGTTGAAAAAAAAAAATATATATATATATATATATATATATTAAATCATAATGCGGTTGTGCTTCTGTCCCCAGGTCAGGATAACACATTGCTTTGGCTGTGGAACACTGAATAACCAGCTAACAAGAAAATTGTTTTAATTGTTGTTCACTTTTTGAAACTCTGCAATTTTTTTTTGTCTTGCTGCTAATTAAAAAGTATCCTTGGTGTATCCATCACTCTAGAAGCACTTGAGTCCATGAACACAGCCGAGTAAGCAGAGAAGGGTTTTGCATTAGAATTAAAGTCATTCAATAACTTTAAATCACTAAATTTTAAATTAAGCTTACTGTAAATGAAATAAAATATAATTATTAGATTTTATTTTTTTTGGAAAATTCTTTTTATGCTAACAGATTACATAGATTTTAATAATTACGTATAACTACTTATACTTATGTATACGTATGTATTATATTATATTTATATATTTTTACTTGATTATTGCCTTAAATATGTTGTTTGCAACAAAGTGTACTTTGAGTGTCAAACCACTAGATGACAGTATATTATAGTTTTAAATTTGTCATGGATGCCAAAGAAACAGAGATCTAGTCTATTAATGTCATTCTGTAAGTCTTTGAACAAAAAATCTTGAAAACAAAACAAAACTTCCAAAATCGAATGAATTACATGAAGCACTTGAGCTGCCAACAATAAGGATAACTTAGGCTAGCATATAGATACAAACAGATACAAACAAACAAATTGGTCTTCCCTTCTATATTTATCCATTCTCTTTTCCACAATTCTATCTCAGAAGACCAAAAGGTGCAGTTTGAGGAAAATACTAGCATTTAGCACCCATGCTAACACACTCAGTAAAGGAAAGTAGGGTCTATGTTAGCAAGTGCAAGTGTTTAATGATGGTTTAAACTAACATTGCAGTCTGGGTCTGTTTATTGTATAGAGCTATGTACCGTGACAGAGCAAGGGAGAGAGTTTATTTAATGGAGGTGCAGTTTCATGTTCCTACTCTTTCACTTGTCATTTTCTCAGCTTCCCTGTTCATCTGTCTCTCTGCATTTATGTTGATTATTGAGTTAATAAATTTGCATGATGCTCGGGACGTGCAAAAGACTTCCTGTCCTTTTCTAGACACTTCAAGGAACCCAGCACACTGAGCCAAGTGACAACACTGAGTCAGCTCAAGCGTTACAGAGCTGAAGTAATCCCTCACTTTCACAAGCAACTCAAGGAAAGACATCATCATTTTCCATTTATTTAGTTAAGACATAAAAGATTAGCTTAATTTCCTGTGGATGTCCCTCTCATAAAGGTCTCCCAATGTCCCAGTCCAGAATTAACGTCAGCAGCAAGGTTATGATTCTCCATGTGCTGTTGGGTTCTCCCCAGAAACAATTTTTTTAAATGTCAATTGGAAAATCCATCTTATGCTGGCTGTTTTGGAACACTGAAGCCAGTTTCTTGTTGATTGAAACTCTTCATTATCAAGTTCAAGTTAGTTATTATTACTTGGTTAAAGCTTTATTAGCTGGTCCACACTGGTTATTAGCTGCTCCAAGCTGGTCCTCAGCTTGTCCAAGCTGGTCATTAGTTGGTTAAATCTGGTCATTAGCTGGTTAAAGCTGGTTTAATCTGGTCATTAGCTGATCCATGCTGCTTCTCAGTTTTTTCCAAACTGGTAATTAGCTAGTGGGTCCAAGCTGGTCTATTGATGCATGGTCCAAGATGGTCAACTAAAATACATTTGTAATAGATGACATAGGCCTACTCTTACAACACAAATATCACAAATTGAACATTGTGATAGGTTACATACTTTTTAGATAGGCTAATTGTAGTGAAATTATCACAGATTAAAGGGGAAATAGGAATAACTCCATTGTCTCTATGTTTAATGTGTCATTTGATGACGCACACCACATACGTGTGGAAACCGCCGATTCTCAGCTTAGTTATGGGAAACTGAAACTTTCTCAAAGAAGTTGTGTTTGACCTCCTGGCCTCCAGAATCCTTCAGCCTCAAATGCACTACTCTGTCCCCAGTCACAGCACCTCGTCCCAGGCTCTGGGTGTCACCACAGGGTCTTTGATGGCTCACACATGGGCTGCATCCTGTACTACTTCCTGTGGGGGAGAGGCTGGGTTAGGACTGATCCCTTCTGGTCTCGAGGGAAACACAGGGGAAGTGATGTTTGCACACACACACACACACACACACACACACACACACACACACAACACTTTCCATAATCCCCATACAAACCCAGCGCTTCTTCAACCTCTCACACACCCTCACTTCCCTCAATCATATACATGCTCATTCACCCTGTAGCAGTTCTCATCACACTTCAGTCTCCAAACCATCTGTGACCTTTAAATTCGGCCCCTCTGGAATAGAGGTCCTGCTTCCCATGAAGTCCCAACATCAGTCAATTATTGGCTTTGAAGATCCTAAACATTTTGCAAAGGCAACATACCCCAGTGGTCAACATTTTCATTTTGCTTTGCTAAAAATGTGATGAAATTTTAAAAAAGTAATGATATTTTCAGTTCATTTATAAGGAAAGTAAACTAACAAATGTGTTTGTCTGAAATTGACACAAACCATTTATGGTTTGATTGATTGATTGATTGATTGATTGATTGATAGATTGATAGATAGATAGATAGATAGATAGATAGATAGATAGATAGATAGATAGATAGATAGATAGATAGATAGATAGATAGATAGATAGATAGATAGATAGATAGATAGATAGATAGATAGATAGATAGATTTTGTTGCAAAACTACAAACATGAATAAAAAAAACTACAACTCCCATGAGACTGTCCTTCCCTGAGGAATAGAAACGGCAGATGATATGGTTACTATTTTGGAGGGTCATTAAAAGAAAAGCAAGGAGCAAACTAAGAGGAAGCTGCCTTGAGAATACAGAGCAGAACGACTGTTTTTAGATTTTATTGCCACTGGGTCCTTGGTCATGCACGAAATCTACACACACCCCCAGGTCCTAGTGAATAAAATCATTATTATGCATCGTATTATTATGTGGCGTAATGTACCACTTTTTCTCTTTCACCAGTAAACCCTCTTTAGTTTATTGCGTATCATGCACCTGCCACTGAATCTTCGGCATGGTCCCGTTATTCTTAATGTGACCCACATCAGGACGAGACACGCTCGTGCACGGGCATCCCTCCTTTATATCTGACGCCATAGCAACGCTATGCCGAAGCCCTGATGCGCGCTTTCTTCATACCGAAAGGACACGGAGATACAACCATTGTGTTCAGTGTCTATCTGATGTCGGAACGGGTTTACGGCAAGTATCGATGACAAAAACTACAATCGGAGGCATCTAGGTGAGTGTGCCCACAGCCTTGGTGCATTATAGGATTCATTCATTCAAATGGCTAAGGTTGATGAATGACGCTCAGTGCGTGGTCCTATTTGCAATGGCCTTCTATGAATATGTTATTGTTACATTGCATTTTAATTGTATTTTGACGCTCGGTGACTCGGTCGTATTTTCATTAACTGAATAACATGGATTTGGATCTGGGCTCATGTAGAGATGCCGTTTTGTAAAACATCCGAAAAGGTTAAATCGAAATTAAATTTCCTTTCGTTTCTTTGTCAGGTAAACTGTCAGGACTTTGTCAGGTTTTACCAAGGCAACAGCCATGTGACTTCGGTATAGTTATTACACTAGACGACACTGTATTTATACTCAAAAACGTGGTAATTATGAACGATATTGCACACACCATGTCTAATTGAGTAAGTAACATCAAATGAGTTCATTAAAATTGAATCATGTAAAATGAGCAAAAATGATACTATAACAATTTGTAATTGCAATGAAGTAACTCTAGAAACAATATCTTAAAGATTTGTGCTTTTGTTTATGTTTTGACAGTTTATTAATAATTATCTCTTTTGTATAATGTACACGGATAGGAAAATGCATGTGCACATAAACACTCATGGGGTCAAAAAATATATTAATAGAGCAATGGCACCCACAAGAAAATAAAATACTAAACATGATGGCAAACATTCAAAGAAGCTACCATAACAATTAATGCCCCTGTGCATGCTGGGAAAACAACTGAGACTGAAGCATCCGGAAACAGAGTGAGCAAAAGGTGTACTTGGCCAGGATGTGGTTGTAAAATGTAACTGTTTATGTTGGACTCACTTAATAAAATATTCATTAGGAATTAATCAGAAATTAAACGTTTTTTTATGTTAATGTTTTTTTTGTTACATTTTTAAATTAGCCTATATGTAAAAAATATATAGATTCACAGAATAATTTAAATTGTAAGTAAATATGAACATGTAAAATAAGTAGGCCTATTTATTCAATCAATTTATTTGTTATCATTTATATAATATACAAAAAAAAAACTTTGTGATTGAACCTAATTGAAACATTACTATGTTGTGTTTTCCCTTCTCCCTCTGCTAACATTTGGGCATCACCCGTGTAGGCACGCATCTCGCAAGGTTTTGAGACGCAGCCACAGTGTCACAGTTGATCTCTATTTTCTCAGGACGGTCCATATTCCTGCCAACATTCCTGTTCAAGTTTGGAAATACGATCCAAGAGCAAGAGGGAGAGCGAGACCATGAGCAGCTGATACTCCGCAGCTAAAAATAATATTCCCTGTGAATTACTCTCTCTAACACCAGGCAACGGGCATGAAAAGCTGCTAAAGCAGAGCAATAACTCCGGTAAGTGATTGTTTAATAATCATATATGACTGTCACTGTGGGTTTTACTATTTTATGTATATTCATACCAATTAAAAGTTGAGAAAAGACAACGTCAGGCTGTCAATGAGCATGTGGAAGAATTTAAAAGCGACGTAAAGCGATGAGTATGAATGAGTTTGTTATAGGAGACTACTCTATTTAATGCACTTGCCATGGATATTTACTTTGTAATTCATGTCATTTCATCTCAAACAAGACCTAGCAATGCATATTTGCTCACTGTAGCACACACTGTTTGTCAATATTAATAGATAATAATAATAGAAGACCATACATGAGTTTTAAATCCTAGAGTATATTAAATATGCTCTAAGTAATTGTTATAAAACTATGGTGTGAAGAGCCCTGACATATAGCTTAAAATCATTTTTATTTTACATGGAGGTTAGCCTCTTGGTGTTGTGATCACGTGACCTGCTGAATGCTACTCTCTTTCTTGGTCTCTTTCTTGAATGTTTTCACAGCATATAGCATTATTATAATATTGATAAATATATTCATAAAAAATGATCACATACACGCCGATAAGTGTCCATTTAAAATGAAAGACAACTATCATTTCACCCACATATGCATAAATAAAAAATGTATATGTCTTCCAATGTGGTGATATAAATGTATATATATTTTAATATAATTTAAAAATGTTAAAATAATTCAAATAGATTTGACAAAAATAACCCTTTGCCTAAAAAAACACTGTGATGGGTCACCGGAGGACATACAGCATACAAGCTTCAATCTACCAGAGTATATTCCTCACAAGCAAACATTACTGGTTGTGATGTTGTATAATCCAACTCTCCTGAATGAGAAATGAAACTTTTTTTGGTAAATGAGATGGCTGGTGGGTACAGGCACTGCAGGGTTTGTTAATCTTGCTCTTAAACTGATTGGTAGCAGTGGATCAATTTAATCAAATACTATGTCTGACCTCAAAGTCAATAATAACTACAGGAATACTGCTGTCAGTTTGGGCTCAAAGCTAAGTAAGGTAAATGCACACTTCATTTGTTTTTATTTACATGACTGAAAATCTTTGAAATCTATTTTTTTTTTTTTAGACACGGGTGACATGGCCTTGTCTTTCTGTGGGAATGACAGGGGTAGTAATGCCTACAGTGTGGACAATGGAGTCCTGGACAACGGCTGCTTCGTCGACGCCCTCAACCTCGTCCCACATGTATTTCTTCTCTTCATTACCTTCCCTATCCTCTTCATTGGTATGAATGCCATTGTCTTTTCCCATTTTTTGGTTCCTTTCAGAATTACAGACTGTCTTTTCAAATAAATTATCCATAAAGAAGTTAAGAAGGATTTAGCTGTGGTTAAAAAGGAGGGAAATATTGTGTGTGTGTGTGTGTGTGTGTGTGTGTGTGTGTGTGTGTGTGTGTGTGTGTGTGTGTGTATATATACATAGAGCCACTCAATATTAAGCTTAAACTGAACACCTGTTGTGTCATGTGTGAATTTATTTGTATAACTGTTCAGTAATAAGAAATCCTGTTCTTGTCATTCCAATTCAACTTCCTGTGGAGTGTAGCCAATTCAGTTCCAATTCCAACTCACAAATTGCAAGGAACGCCCTGGTTGTTTATGACAGCCGTCATGTCATCAGAAGCTGTGGGACCTAGACACGGTTTCAGACCTACTTGGGCCAATTCATTATCTGTATCGGTTCCCCTAAGAGCCTTTACTTAAAACCTTGGCAAAATCCTTAACGCTGACGCCGTAATGTTCTCACTGCCATTCCTCATTCGGTCTGTAAGCTCATAATGAAAAAATGTTTCCTATAGAAGAATTAGCCAAAGAAAGACAAACAACGAATGAACGAGACAGGCGGAGACGGATACAAAGTGCTGATTAACAAACGTCTAGGAAACTAGTTAACTGTATGTCATTTTAGATACATAAGGGAATAATAAAATGATACAATTATAAAACAAGTTTAATGCTGCCAGACATGTTCACAAGTCTCTGATGTCTGCCAGTCTCTCAACATGTGGTTCAGATAATACATTTGAAAGTAAAGATATGTTGAAGTGATGGAAGGCATGTTTTTGTGTCCAGGCTGGGGTAGCCAGAGTTCAAAGGTGCAGATCCACCATAACACCTGGCTGCACTTCCCAGGCCACAACCTGCGCTGGATCCTCACCTTCACACTGCTGTTTGTGCACGTGTGCGAGATCGCAGAGGGAATCGTCTCCAATACGTGGGTTTCAGTTTATTTGTGTGTTTATGACCGACCGCTATGCGTTTTTATGTTTATGTCTTTGTGTATGAATGTGTATTTCAGGCAGATGGAGTCCAATCACTTGCACCTCTTCATGCCAGCGCTGATGGGCTTCATAGCGGCCACGACATCAGTCGTTTATTATCACAATATAGAAACAGCCAATTTTCCCAAACTGCTGCTTGGTAAGTCAATGGCCCTTTCACTATTCAAATGTGATGCTGGCAGTTAATACTAAACAGTTCTTTTAGTGTGGTTGTTTCATTACTTACATAACTTACACCAGTTGGTCCGGGTTCTCTAATTTACATAAAACACTTTCATTCTGTCTGTTGCTTGGCAACATGTAATGGTCGATCCATATTTTGAGCTATTATCAAATTTAGTTTTTGTCCTTGGCATTCTGTATGAGAATGAGACCTAACCTCAGAAATACTTTCACAGCTTTATTTATTTACTGGATTCTGGCTTTCATCACCAAGATGATAAAGTTATGGAAGTTTGCAGAGGCGAGCTTGGGGGTGCAACATCTCCGTTTCTGTATCACAGCTTTGCTCGTGGTCCTGTACGGCCTGCTCATGGCTGTCGAGATCAACGTTATCAGAGTCAGAGTGAGTTCATCTAGGGTCACATGCCAAATTGATTTATTTCTTATTTCTTAATTTTTAATTGTTTTTTTTTTTTTAATATAAATGCTTCTAATTTGACCCACTAATTCAATTGTATTTCTATTGTTGTTTTTTTCTATATTCCCTTTATTTTATCCATTAATTTTCATTATTCCATTATTATTAATTTCCATGTCCATTATTTAATTTTATGTTATTTTTTTATTTGATCCCCTAATGTGTGCAGAATTTAATTTAATTTAATTTAATTTTTCATCCACTAACTTAAGGCAGAATTTTAATTTATTTTATTTCATTTACATATCTATATGCCTCTTATTTGATCCACTAATTTTATTTTATTCCACAATTTCATCTATATTACTTTTATTTTATCCACTAATCTAAGGCAGATTATTTTCTTTTCTTTTTTATCCACTAATTTAAGGTCGATTATTTAATTTTTTTATATATGCCTCTAATTTGATCCACTTATTTAAGGCGGATTATAGTTCAAAAAAGTGTTTTGTAGACCGTTTTATAATTGTAAAAAGAGTTGCCTACCTGCTGGAAAAACAGCTTGGACTGGCACAAATTTTAATACTGGTCCAAGTTGGTTTGTTCTGGTCTAGGTGATATAATATAGCCATGCTGTTCACCATCAAATCTGCTTGACATCCTCTCTGGTTGACCAAGTTAGTCTAGCTGTTTAAGTGAACATGAAATCAGAAATCAAGTAATTGTACTAACAAGCCACCCGTATTTTCATTTTTGTCTTACCTGCAGAAGTACGTGTTCTTTGCAAACCCCCAGAGGGTGAAGCCCCCAGAAGACTTGCAGGACTTGGGCGTCCGATTCCTCCAGCCATTCGTCAACCTCCTCTCCAAAGCAACATATTGGTGGATGAACCCGCTCATCATTGGAGCCCATAAGAGACCCATTGAGCTGAAGAAGATTGGCAAACTTCCTATCGCAATGAGGGCCTTGACCAACTATCTGCGTCTGAAGGATTCCTATGAGGAACAGAGGGTATGTTCAGATGATCACAGGTTCAACAGCAAATATTATCATTTATAATCTGGTGACATATAGAAGTAATGAATTCTTGGTTAACCAGTACCTCGTTGCTTATCAAATTTTGACAGCAGAACACAGAGGACCCAGAAAAATCCCCATCCATCTGGAAATCCATGTACCGAGCCTTTGGGGGCTCAATCCTCCTCAGCAGCACCTTCCGGTACATGGCAGACCTGCTGGGCTTTGCCGGGCCACTCTGCATCTCTGGGATTGTGGAACACCTGAATAACTCAACAGAGATCGACAAGACGAATAAGGTGTGTTTCGTCCCATATAGTGAGAATAGAAAACTCTTGTCAAAAAACTTTTGTCTTGTTTTCCAGTACAAATTTCTAACATTCTAAGGTACATTTTCAAAATACTGTACATTTACCTGAGAAGCAAAAATAGATTGAAACGAAACAACAACAACAATAAATTTGCCAAAGAAGTTTTAGTTTTATTCATATCTTAGTTATTTCAAAATTTAAAGAGAGATATATCTTATTTAATGGACGAGTTAAGCATAAACTAGCAATGCGGTATTTTAAGTAACGGTCGTTAACAAAGACGAATATACTGTAACAAATGTATTTCTCAGTTAATGTTAGTTGACCTATAAACTAATGGGGTTTCATAGAAAAGTGTTACCAAAAAAATTAAGAAAACGGCTTAATATCATTTTGCCTCTCAATCTTCATTTGCACTGGAAAAAAAAAAAGACAAAAATATTTTTTTCTTTGGTTATTTTTTCACACAGAAAGTATACAAGCCATTTAAGCTGTTGCATATGAACAGGGCAATTTGAGAGTAAAAATGAGGGTCAATCCCAAATACATACCAGACTGATGATAAAACTGGGAAATGGAGTGAAAAAGACAATTACGCAACTAATGTAATGGAAATATATCATATGTCTCACAGCACTATGATATTATCTCATTTACTTTGGAGCCCATTCGTAACGTGCCTTGTTAAATCATTTAGGATGTTGTTCAACTGTCAATTAATGATTTGTGGAAGATGTTGGGCTAGTGGTTATACTAATTAGACTGTATTTTTTTCTGAGTGCAACGTGACAGTATTGTAGAGAATGATCTATAGTCTGATATCTTCTGTTTTGCCTTGCCATTTATCACTTCCTGTGTGATGTCACAGAGGCGTCAGTGCTATTAATGAGAGAACCGTATGTTATTGCCTTGAGATGACTGCAATTATTAGATTTCACATTGTGTGTTCTCCCTGCTCAGATGACCATGATGTCATGTCCGCCTGAAAATACACTCTCGTGAGGTTTACATAAGGATGATATCACTGCATTTGTCTTGTCATGGTGTCTGTCTAGATACATTTTGTTTTAATTTTGAACAATACACACACTACTGTTAAAAAAAAAGTTAATCAAGGGCGCGTTGAACCGATAAAAAGACAAAAGTTACAAAGAAGTATATTTGAAAAAATTATGCTCTATTGAATTTTCTATTTATAAAAATATTAAGCAGTACAACCATGTTCAACATTGATAATAATAAGAAATGTTTCTTGAGCACCAAATCAGCATATGAATAATTTCTGTAGGATCATGTAACTGAAGCCCTCTGAAAATTCCATCATTGGAATATTTAACATTTTTAATATATTAATACAGAAAACTGTTATATTTCACAATATTGCCGTTTTACTGTACACAAATAAATGCAGATTTGGTAAGCATAAGAGATTTCCTTCAAAGACATTTAATAATCTTACTAGCCGCAAACTTTTGAACAGCCGTGTATGTCATTTTATAATGTATAATTATAATTTGTAATTAAAATACATTATAATTTGAACCCTAACCCTAAAAGAAAAAAAAAATGTGCCAATCATTCTTGAAAAAAAAAAATGCTGATGCTTTGAAATTTTCTGTTCAATGCAATGACATTTATGCAGTGTGTCTTAAGTGTCCAAATACTTTTTGGAGTCACTGTATATGTTTGTGAGTGACAAAATGAAGCCAAAACAGACGTGCATATCTGTGTGACATGGAAAATTCCCCACTCACATCACACTCTGTCTCACACACATGTTGCTGCCAGAAACACTTTTTACTGTAAGTGACTCCTTCTCTTTATTTTAGTGTGTGCTTGTGCATGACATCATGAGGGCTGACATGCCAAAGTGTTGTTATATATTATGTGTGTGTGTGTTTGTGTTCATACTCTGTTTATGTCCTGTCAGACAGGGAACATGACTTTTGGGGTTTACTTCATGTCTTCCACTGAGCTGCTGCAGAATACGTCAGTTCTAGCTGTTCTGCTGTTCCTGGCACTCGTGCTGCAGAGAACATTCCTGCAGGCCTCCTACTACGTCACAATAGAAACCGGCATTAACCTGCGCGGGGCACTGCTTGTAAGTTTTGTGGAGTTTACTGGAAGTCAAACATGGAGAGATTTGTCAGAGAGATTTATATTTATTTAATTTTCATCAGCCTGTACTGCTCATGTCAATTTGTACTGTGTAATACAAAAATATTGTATAAAACAAATTATTACCCTACTAAGAAAGTGAATTATATTCTATTTTATTTTGCATTTTCCTGGTCAAATCTATTCTACTCGACTTTGTCCCATTATTCTTTTCTACTCAATATTGTAATATTTTGTCTGTTTTATTCTTTCTACTCACTTCTATTGAATTTTATTCAGTTCATTCTATTCTATTCTACATCATTCTGTTCATTTCAATTATATTTCCAATTATTCTAATCTGTTCTATTCTATTCTACTTTGTCCTATTCTATTTTATTCTATTACTGGCAGTGTTGTTAGTGTTAACTAAAACTGATACTACTAAAAGTTTTTGTTAATTGGAATGAAGTTGAAATAAAATAAATTGAAATTGGTAAAATGATAAACTGAAATTGATAAAAATAATTAACTATTTGAAGTTGAAGTGCTGAAATTACTTAAACTAAAATAAAAAAGCAAATATTAATATTTTAAAAAGCTATCAAAAATGATCACATAAAGATAAAAAAATACATTAAAGTTTTTTTGTGATTCACGTGATGGATCTCATCCTCTAGGCGATGATCTACAATAAAATACTGCGTCTCTCTACGTCAAATGAAATCTGTTTTATTTTTTCTACTCACTTTTTGTATTCAGTTTTTATATTCTATTCTACATCATTCTGTTTTTAATTTTAAATATATTTCAAATTATTTTATTCTGTTCTATTATATAAGGCATTGTCCTATTCTATTCTATTCTATTCTATTCTATTCTATTCTATTCTATTCTATTCTATTCTACTTTGTCCTATTCTACTTTGTCCTATTCTATTTTATTCTATTAACTGGCAGTGTTGTTATTGTTAACTAAAACTAAAACTACTAAAAGTTTTTGTTAATTGGAATGAAGTTGAAATAAAATAAATTGAAATTGGTAAAAATGATTAAAAAAAATTAACTATTTGTACTCAAATTACATAAACTAAAACTATAAAAAATAAGCTAAATAGAAATATTTTTAAAAACCAAAAGCTATCAAAAATGATCAAATAAAAATAAAATTACAAAAAAATTACATTAAAGTTTTTTTTTTGTGATTCACGTGATGGATCTCATCCTCTAGGCGATGATCTACAATAAAATACTGCGTCTCTCTACATCAAACATGTCCATGGGAGAGATGACGCTCGGCCAGATCAACAATCTTGTTGCCATAGAAACCAATCAGCTCATGTGGTTTCTCTTCTTATGCCCCAACCTCTGGGCCATGCCAGTTCAGGTATTTCAACCCTTCTGAAGCAGATAAATCAAGAGCATCTCTGTCCCCAGTTGAAAAAAAAACATCTTATTTCTGTTCTTAGATCATTATGGGAGTGATCCTGCTATATTATCTGTTGGGTGACAGCGCGTTGATAGGGGCCGGTGTCATTTTGCTGCTTGCCCCGGTTCAGTACCTCATCGCTACCAAGTTGGCAGACACACAGAAGAGCACGCTGGTGAGCTCCACCTACACCGTTGTGCACGTGTGTGTTGTCAACACACCAACAAGCTCATGTCTGTGACTTCTAAATATTTCCTCAGGACTACTCGACAGACCGTCTTAAAAAGACGACGGAGATCTTGAAAGGAATAAAGCTCCTGAAGCTCTACGCATGGGAGAACATCTTCTGTGACCGTGTGGAAGAGACCCGAGGAAAAGAGCTGACCAGTCTCAAGACTTTCGCCCTTTACACATCAATGTCCAGTATGACAAGCTCCTCCTTCCATCATATGCCCCGCCCACATGCATAAACCCCTCCCCTTGTTATTAGCCCAACCCATATTCTCATTTGTTTAACTTTCTGATTCTGAATCAGGGCTACTTGGTTCTAATTTGGTTCTTTGGTTTGTTGTTCGCGACTTAAAAAAAAAGAGTTCTGTCCCTCTTTATCTCCACAGTATTTTTGAATGCCGCCATCCCCATTGCTGCAGTTTTGGCGGTAAGATATTCATCATTTCAGGCTTCAATCCGTTGGATTTTATCCAACATGTAGACCATATTATCTTGTATCTCGTTTTTGTAGACCTTTGTCACACACGCCTATATTGAGGAGGTCAGGCTCAGTCCAGCTAAGGCGTTTGCCTCTTTGGCTCTATTCCACATTCTGGTCACGCCACTCTTCCTGTTGTCCACGGTGGTCAGGTTTGCCGTCAAGGCCCTTGTTAGGTATGTTTCAAACTCCAACATTCCTTTATATTGGCTTATCTGTAAGGATATGATCATCTGATTTGTATCTGCAGTGTACAGAAGCTCAGCGAGTTCCTGCAAAGTGACGAGATTGGAGATGACAGCTGGAGAAACGGAGATATGTCCATGCCTCTTGAGGTCGGAAAGAAATACAAATACCAAGGGGATGTGAGTGTTCACACACAGATTTGCACCTTAAAAGTGTGGTCACATTTACCATTGTTTGGCAACATTTATGGGCAAAATCCAGTCATTTCAAGAAGAAAGAGCACCGAAACTATTTTTTTTAATATATTTAGTTGCGTTTTGGAACATATTTGGCATCAGAATATCTTTTTCTCAACTTTAAAAATGGACAGAATGTTCTTGGATCAGTTTTAGAGGAGAAAATATATACAGTATGTTGATTAACTGGGACTTTCCCTGCCCTGTAACTGAACAAGAGAAACAAATTAATATTAATGTTTATAACTAATCTCACTGGATTTTTTTATCACCAAACACTGAGAACATACAAGGTA